TCACTTCCCGCACTTCAAGTGGAGTACTGAGTGTATGCAGAACAATCTTGTTGCTCGGAGTTGCCTGATTTCACTCTTATGCTACCCCACTACTGCCCACCATCTCTCATCTCCTCCTCATGTGGTTTCCCCATACTGTCATAGAAATCCCAGCCCGTCACTTCCCTTTCAAGCTTCACTCGAAAACTAGTTCAGTTCACGATGTTACTGGAGAATCGCTTAGCGTAAGTCTGGGCTATATCTAATTTTTTCTGCTTATGTGTCGGTAATATATACGCAGGGGAATCATTAATATTCATTATTTATTTCATACACTAGCATAATCATCGATTTCACGCATCTGCGTGATTATTGATTTAAATTACTGAATTCCCTAAGGTCGTTAATATTTTTAAAATGTGACATTGATTTTTCTAATTGTATAAATACGGAGTTGTTGTTTAACATTTTCGACTGTTGGTTGAGACAGTAAAAGCTCTCATATCAACGTCCAGTCTTCTCTTTTATTTGTCTTGCGTGCCCGGCGGTATTATTGTTGTTGTTGTTGACGTGCGATTAAGACAGATTAGCCAGCGCATTAGTTAGATTCGCTCGTAGTCTACAAGGTCCTAATATTCACATACATAACAAATTTGGCGACGGGTTTGCTGAAGATGGACCCACTGCGTTTAGAGAAACTAATGGAACAGCAGCTAAAATTGGTGGAAATGCTTGCTGGTCTACAGATATCACGCCCTGCCGGTTCATCCACAGCCAACGACAGCATTGGTAGCGGCATCTCAGAATTCGTTCATGATCCAGATGCGAACGTAACGTTTGATACCTGGTTTCGCAGATATGAAGACCTATTTCGAGTAGACTTTGCGGATAAAGATGATGCCTGGAAAGTACGGCTTCTACTTCGTAAATTGGGAGCAGATGAGCTAGATAAATATTGCAACTTAATTCTCCCACAGAAGCCCAGCGAAAGGTCATTCGATGAAACTGTCCATACCCTTCGTCATCAGTTCGGTGATCAGAGATCTTTATTCAACATTCGATATCATTGCATGAAACTAGTTTTGAACGAAAATGATGATATCCATACTCAGTTGGGTATAGTCAATCGCACGTGTGAACGTTTTAAATTGAAATCGCTCTCAGAAGACCAGTTCAAGGTACTGATTTTCATTTGTGGTTTGCAGTCTCCCAAATTTGCTGATATACGCACACGTCTATTAAATCGTCTGGAACAAGATCCACGAATGACTTTGAAAGACGTCGGTGAAGAATATCAGCGTTTAATCAACATTCACAACGATACCGTCTTGGTGCAGTCTGGTGGCCAAAATGCAGCAGAAGTGCATGCGGTGCATCCAGTACCGTCGACATCAACCGCACCGCGTCATCCTCAGCATAAACCACCATCAGCCTGCTGGCACTGTGGCTCCTGGCATTTTGCAAACTTGTGCCCATTCAAACAGCATAAATGCCGTCGATGCCATACTGTTGGTCACAAAGATGGCTACTGCAAACGCAACAACCGACCCAGATCTCGTAGTCGACCCAAACGGCGCAACAAGCCTAAGTCTTTGGGTGTTACTGCCACATATCATATTAGTACGCCAGCACCTCGCAAATATATCAATCTGACGATTAATACACGGCCGGCACGCCTACAAATCGACACAGCATCCGATATTACAATAATATAAAAGAAATTATGGCAGAAGTTGGGATGCCCTACCATAGAGAAGACAAATCAAATAGCAATTAGTGCATGTGGTGGAAGACTTCAATTGAATGGAGAAATTAAATGCAGCGTTAGTTTTCGCGATAGTCATTTCGTCGGCACATGCTACATCAACAATTCAAACCTTGACCTCTTGGGTTTAGACTGGTTTGAGAAGCTGCACCTGTCAGAGATTCCGTTAAGCAGTGTATGCCATAAGATAGAAAGTATTGAACCCTCAACAAGAAAGCCAGAAATCAGAGACAGATATATTAAACCTAAGCCCATTAGAAAGAATGACGTGATTGTTGAAAAACCAACTTCGAATCGTCACAGTGAGTATGGCTGCGCCAAAAATGCTTCGATGTCTGGTAACAACAAAGTAGCAACTGTTGGCTCCAGTAAGAGAGGCTCTGCTCAAAAGCTGAAAGTGACGTCTGTCATGGCAGCCAAAGATCCGCCGCGGGAGCCACCGAGAGCATGGCCCACGTCAAAACCATGGTCCCGCCTACATGTGGATTTTGCTGGGCCGATAGAAGGTATATACTACTTGGTTCTCGTGGACTCTTACTCAAAGTGGCCGGAGATAGTACAAGTGACACCACCTTCTAGCAGCAGAACAGTATCAGTCCTGGAAAAGATCTTCGCATGTCACGGTATACCAGAAATCATCGTATCTGACAATGGCAGTCAGTTCACCTCACAAGTGTTCCAGGAATTTTGCAAGAGAAACGGTATACAACACGTGCGGACGCCACCTTATCACCCTCAATCCAACGGTCAGGCAGAAAGATTTGTCGACACCTTCAAACGAGCGTTGTTGAAAGCAGGGGGAGGGGCGAAACCGGAAGCAATACAAAACTTTCTTTTTGTATACCGAACTACACCCCTGGCAGAACAGAAGAAAAGCCCTGCAGAACTTCTAATGGGTCGAATGCTACGAACTCATCACCACTCCATGTTACCACCTTCGTCACATCAACGAAGAAATAGTGTGACGTATTACCGCAAGGGTGATGCTGTCTATGTGCGCGATTATCGACCGAGGAACAGAAAATGGGCCGAAGGCTTGATAGAACGTCGACATGGAACTCTAATGTACAAGGTTAAAGTTGGGGATGAATGGTGGATTAGACATAAAAATCAGATACGACGTCGATATACTACATCCCAAGAACCTAAACTGCCACTGGATTTACTACTGGAAACCTTCAAACTACCACCAGTCAAACCAGAAGCAAAACAAGAGATGCTACCCAGCCGACGATCCCAGCGCAAACGAACACAAACAGTTCATTTCCAAATCGACCCCAAGGAAAAAAGATACTAAACTGATTGCAAGATTCTTTTTAAAAGGGGGAGGTAATATATACGCAGGGGAATCATTAATATTCATTATTTATTTCACACACTAGCATAATCATCGATTTCACGCATCTGCGTGATTATTGATTTAAATTACTGAATTCCCTAAGGTCGTTAATATTTTTAAAATGTGACATTGATTTTTCTAATTGTATAAATACGGAGTTGTTGTTTAACATTTTCGACTGTTGGTTGAGACAGTAAAAGCTCTCATATCAACGTCCAGTCTTCTCTTTTATTTGTCTTGCGTGCCCGGCGGTATTATTGTTGTTGTTGTTGACGTGCGATTAAGACAGATTAGCCAGCGCATTAGTTAGATTCGCTCGTAGTCTACAAGGTCCTAATATTCACATACATAACAGTCGGGCATTAGATAATAAGTTTTCCACGACGGTTTGCTGTAGCTAACATATTTGTTACTATCTGATTTCTGGCCTTCAGGGTTGGGAGAAGGCAGCTGCTCATAGACGACGACAGCAAGTCCTTGGAAGTGCTTGTGCATGTCTAGACAATAAAGAAGCCTATATTTCACCTTAGTGTGACTTCCTCTTTACTGAGTGAGTGCCGCAGATCACCACACCTATTTAAAAGTAGTGGAAAACAGCCTGCATTGCTTTGCTGCTTCCAGCTAACTTTGACACCTCATTTCGTGGCGCTTGAGCTGAAACGAGACCATTCAGCAAACGCGATAATAGCAACTAGTGCTTTTCGTTGTTATCTGTCGATCTTAATCGCCTCCTTTTTCTCTACATTGGGTGGTACCATCCTCTTTGGTCAACAGCTTCACCTGTATACCTTCAAATTTGCCGGCAAATTGAAGCCTGACAAGTAGCCAGTAGGACACATTTCTACTCACAGACTGTTCAAAAGCTCAGGCGTACTGTGGAGTGCCATATCTATTCGTTATCTAATACTTCATCTATTCAGGACACCTCTGAGGAGTAATTATAAACAGACTTAAACGCCAATGTGAATAGAGCTAAAATTCCTTTGGATGGTGGTCTGAAGGTGAAGCTTACGGCAGCAGTCATCACTGAATTACTTGCAAGCATCTTCAGGCGAAGCACTGATCTTCATACGAATAATGGTGGGATTAAGGCAACCCCTTTGGCCTCCCACAATGACTTACGAGAGGTGGTTCTTGTCAGGATGTTATTTTGTTTCATAGTGACTACCTGCAGAATCTACAGTGAGTACTAGTCCTTTCAAAGACTTGTCATCTGGATGAATCTGCATTTACAGTGAGTGATAGTTTAGAGGCTAAGGGAATAGACGTTCATGGATAATGCGAAGTATAATAACGTAATATCTAACACTCACAACTTCTATAGTATTCGTTCCGCGTTGACCAAAAGCAAAACACTAGAAGTGGTTAGCCAAATTATGAATTATATTTCAGGACTACATCGGAGTGCAAGATGACTGCTTAACTAGATAGGGATCTTGCACCAAAGATCGAACGTAACACGACGGTGTCCCGAGTGGTGTGGATGCTTGACCGGAAGCATTTAGCTACACAAATCGACTAAAACAATGAGGGGCAGCATCCAATGTACAGTGATGAATGCCGTGGCCTATAAGCCTGGGGAATCGCCTACCACTACAGTAGTATTCTCAACAAGATGTCGAATTAGCACACATCGTTTCAAATGACAAATTTACCATTTTGAATTTAAAGCCAGCAGGCACACGAGAGTCCTCTCACACAACGGGTATTAGTCACTTTAAAAAATATTTTACATTTCCTGCTGACTGATTATGCTGACGTGTTGGGCCCTAGAAGAGACGCGTGGGTGATACCGAGGGATAACGTAGTTATTATTTTGGCGTGCGGGGTGCGAGTTTCATTGAGAAAACTAATACACTAGGAATGCAATTACATCCAAATGGCGAGTCTCAAACAGTAACTAATACTTGTCTAGGTCACCAGCAAGCAAGCAAAATGAAGCTACATTGTTCTTCAGATATCATCAAAGAGTCATCAAAGAGTGGTTGGCATATCAACAGTGAGTGAAGATTCGCATTCAATATAGGCATAATGCAAATTAATCAATTAACTGACTCAATTCATTTGGAAAGCAGATAATACAAGGAAACGAATGTCCTTGATTATTTAACAGTTTTATTAATTCTTAGGTGAACAACTGCAGTAGAGTGCATGAATCTTGTGTGGTGTATCAAATGAATACATCGGTATGTGTTGGGGCCTTATAAATCCAAGGTCGTTTGCTCTACTTTCTCTGGATGGCGACATCAATCATCAAATTACATACCCTTTCCGGTGCCAATGATAACGGAGCGCCCTGTTATTTACTTCAAGTAAGGTCTGTTGCATAATTACAAACATAAATATCAGATAGATGAATTTCACTGTCTTCTTGATTGTGGTTGGTGTGAAAAACTGGATAGTGCTTATGTGAAAGAGGTTTCGAAGTGGGCCAAACACATTGATGCCGTGCTTCTTAGTCATCAGAGCTTAAGACATCTTGGGCTACTCCCGTATCTTGTGGGGACATGTGGACTTAACTGCCCAATTTACGCTACAACTCCTGTTTATAAAATGGGACAGATGTTTTTGTATGATTTTTACCAGTCAAGACATGCGTCAGAAGACTTTCATCATTTCACCCTTGATGACGTGGACCTAGCATTTGATAATGTTCATCAGGTTAAGTATCAACAAATGACCAGTCTTCATGGACGTGGTCATGGATTATGTATAATACCACTTCCGTCAGGTACATTATTTGACTCCTAATATACTTTCTGCAGGACATACTATTGGCGGGACTATCTGGAAAATAGTCAAAGAAGATACAAGTATTGTCTATGCCCTAGATTTCAACCACAAAAAAGAAAGACATTTAAATGGAGCCACATTCGATGCTTGCTTACGTCCTCATTTATTGATCATGGATGGTTCCAACACTTTATATACTCAGGTAATCTCTTCCATTTGGTGTGGTCATTTATCAGCCTAGGAGGAAAGACCGCGATGAAAATTTACGTCAAACAATATTGAAAACCTTAAGACGTGGTGGGAATGTGTTGATTGCAGTTGATACAGCCGGCCGGTGCCTGGAGGTCGCCCATTTTCTGGAGCAGTGTTGGCTCAATCAAGTTAGTTTTTATTTGCTGATGTTAACCATTAAAATTGTGATGAATTATTACTGTTACGCGTAGGAATATTCGCTATTGTCTGGTTAGGAGACAGCTTGCAGTGGCCTTTGGATTCTTAGGTATTTCGATTTGAAGTCACCTCATGATATTGGTGTGTAGCTTTTCTCACCTCAACTTGCAACTTTGTAAGAACTCATAGGTATTTATCTTCTGAAATGGTGACAACCAACGGTGTATATCAAGGAATTACAATGTCGCTATTCTTATTAAAGTCATTTCAGATGATTTCTATTTTGAAGTCTTTGAATTTTGATTTACGTTTATTCGAAGAGCTCATGCGCTTTTAATACACTTGATATAGTCATATTAAATGAAAACTGACAAAATGCAAGACCTAAATATTTGACTAAATAAGTTTGCATCGTCTCCTTGTGTAAGTACAGCAAGTGAGGTTCAATGTCTAATCATTTCGGCTGATGAATTTTTGTACAAAGTTTTGCCTGAATATATTGGTGTATCAGAAGGTAGAGCAGATCACTTTCGGACTCAGTCTAATAGAATGTATGCTTTTTGGTAAATATGTGAAGCGCTTGAAATTTCAAATCGGCTTTTTCATCTACGCTGTTTGAGGTTTGTATTTGGAAAAATGGAAAATATCTCAATGTGGCATCACTGCTCATCCTTAAGCACCACATCCAGTCCGCCGTATAAACAGTAGCGAATACTATTGATAATCTGAAGTCAGTTTCATCCGAAATGATCAGGCTAGCTTGGAACATGATGAGAAGCGGAAGCTGATTATTAAAAGTGAGGTTATTAAGTCGATCGTTCTTATTGTGTCGTTTACAATTCTAAGGCTATTTAGGCAGCAACAAATATACTCTGTTGACAAATTTCAAGGTGAGTGTTTGATTGTCATTTTGCCTATGGATAGTTATTGTCAGCATTCTACTGATAAGATGCTTTTTCTCACGTTTTCTGCATATATTATACAAAAGTGATCGATAGTAAAAGTGCGTTTTTAGTCTTAACTGCATTGGTTGTGCTTTGTACAAGTATTACAGTTTTTGTTTTCCAGGATTCTGGTCTAATGGCTTATGGATTAGCAATGATAAATAACGTGGCCGTGAATGTCGTAGACTTTGCAAAGTCTATGGTTGAGTGGATGTCTGAGAAAGTAATGCGGTCTTTTGAAGACCAGAGGAGCAATCCATTTCATTTCAGGCACATGCAGCTTTGCCATACACTGGAGCAACTAGATGCAGTTTCGGAGCCAAAAGTGAGTTAGCAGTATTTTTTGATATTTTTTAGGTTGTTCTTTCATCACTTTCCGATCTTAGCTCTGGATTTTCACGTCAGTTATTTGCTGAGTGGGCTGACAATGATTTAAATGCAGTTATTCTTACCTCTCGAGATTCTGTCACTACTGGAAGTGATGTGTCTCCTGCTCATAGCTTAATATCACGTCTTATTGGACTAGCAAGGAAGGACGTAGAAGCAAGAAAAGACTTGCCAACAAGTTCCACTGGGACTTTAATTCTTCCTTTAACGCTGTCACAAAGAGTATCGTGTTCCCAAATAGAACGAGCGGGTTCTGACATTCCACACTTGAGGAATTCCACGAAAATTTTATCAGCTGCACAGAATATCAGTCCAACAACTGGTGACTTCCCTTCAGAAACAGAACCTACAGATGTAACCACTAGTTTAACAGGTATGCATTTTGCTTAGATTTTAAACAGGAACGTTTTTAATTCTAAGTAATATTTGTAACCCTTAATGTAATGAAACCCTTCATTTGAAACTGCCTTGCTTTCACTGATGCATTTTCGTTGTGGAACCACCTATCTTCTCATGGTTGTACTTTAAAAGTAAAGTCAAACATTACTGTCAGCTGTATCACTTTCTGTATTCTATTTCTTAGCTCCAGATTTATGGTGATTTCTTAATCCTAGAAATCTTTCGTTATGCAAATGCAAACTTCTTTATATATATATATATATATCACTTAAATTAGTATATCGACTATCTTCATTTGCCGCAAACTATTTTTTCTCATCATTCACTTGCGTCCATTTTATGGGCAATTGATCATTTCTTGTCGCACATTTCCATGTCTTTCTAAGTATAAATGCTGTTCTCGACTAGTATTCAACTAAAAGTCACACCGGTAAAGACTTGTGTCTACCTATACACTTATCTACTTCATGATCGGTTCAACAAAGTTTGCATTTGATTCACAGCTGTTTGGCTTCCTAGATGCAATCGTGATATTAATGCTTAAGTAGCACTAAACTATGAAGAAAGATGACCTGATTTCACCCTCCAGATTCTCTTGGTCAAGGAACCGATAATGATGATTTCATGTTTCAGTTGTGTTGACAGAAAAAAATTCCAACTTGGCAGCTAATAATCTCAACATACAGAGGTAGATACAAGGGAGCCATATTGTTACTAGTCGCTGGTAAGTATCTGTGAACACTGATCTTAGTCATTTTGAGCACTCATCCTTGTTCCTCAGTAAATTGAAGGAGTATGTATGGGAAAATTTGTGATTTCATCTTAGACATAGAGATATGTAGGCTGCATTCAAAATAAAATCAGCGGAACGGTTCACGAAACACGACGGTATTAATTAATCTACAGTTTTTGATAGATATTGCAATGAATACTATGACTATTCGCACATAGTAACTAGTTGGTTTGCGCATTCCTGTTATTCTTATCTTTCTGATGATTGAATTAATTAACAAAGCTCACTAAACTGAAACCGTTTTGAATTCTTCGTTAATTCATTTAAACTTGCCTCATTGTGTTGCACTCCTGACGCCTTAATCCTATTATGCACACATACTTATTTCCAGGAAAATATGACTTTTATTCTACGTATAGATTTTTCGAATCAAAGTTAAAGAGACTGCATTGAAGTTGCTATGTACTTGTCTTAAATTAACTTCGGATTATTTCATTATTATTATTTTTTTAGAACAGCGTTTCTCCTTTGTGTTTAAGTGGTATTAATTTTCAGATATATAGTTTTACCAAGATTTCAGCAAGTTTGATGCTAGAAATATGAGAATCAGGTTACATGAATGTCATCATATTTTCGCTTCAGTTGTCTTCACTAATGCCATCACTAATAAACATTTATTTTATGTGATTTCAGAGATCGTTGTGCCATCGTTGAATGATGCTCCATCTGATGAAGTTTCGTCACAGAAACCAGAAGAAGCCCCTGAAAGACGCATTTCATGTGGATCTGAAATGGAAATTGAATCAACGCCTAATGAAAGTCGTCCTAGTGATTTGGTTGATTCTAGCGGAGATAAATTCAAGCCTCTTCCTCTCACATTATCCGTTCCGAGAGATCGTTCCCAGAAGACACCTGTTCCAGACAGTATGGTTAAGCTAATTCCTCAGACTAACTTACATTCAATGCCCATGAATGTAGACCACTTCGGGGGAACAACTGCTCATCTGACTGCCGGACGACATCAGGCTGGCTATGATATATATCCAGGACTTCATAATCAGGCTGGGGGACAGTTTTTCCGTGTTGCTAAACGAACTCAACTCATGTTTCCTCAAAACGAAAAGAAAGTGAGTTTATTTCAAAATATACGGAATTATTTTGCAAAGCCGTTATTTACTAAGGCTGTCCCATCACGTAATATGCTCATTGAGGTGCTGGTTCCTTGGGAGATTATTAGGATGTCAACTTGAAGGAAAGCTTCCGCGGTTTCATATTTCGTATTTCAGTAAGAGCTGATATCGTGACTACAAATTTAGTTTGTTGTTGTTGTCATTACATGTCTTTAGAGACAACCCATCCAACATTATTGATACTTATTAACATTGTACTACTGCTGCAAGTAATTGGAAAAATGAGAAATGGAGAGTGAAAATAATGGAATTGATGAATTATGATAAAAAATTGTAATAGGATGGTTATGATCACAATAAGATCAGTAATCTGACGTACTCCTCTTGAGTAAAAATGTTAATCTTCAGTTGGAGAATTCCCAACGCTTCTCTCATGTTCATGTAGTGAGTCTGTATGGCTTTCTAAATGTTGTATTTTACTGTAAAGATGACTTTAAAGCAAAATTAGGATGAACTTTAGTAACTAGAGTTAATCAGATACTTGAGCATTACGCTATTGATTGGTTTACATCCTCACTGTAACGTCCTTGGAAGAGATGTGTTTGAATACCACAACAATAAGCATAATTTACAACTTTTGAAAATCTAATTTTTAAAAGAAAACTTTTAGTGCTATTGCCTTTTAGATTATTGATTTTCGTAGGGATATGAATCGATTTCAAAGTAGATTTCCTTCTGGACCAATCCCAGTTAGAGATCATTGAAAATCACGTAGTACTACGTACTTGTTTCTTCCTGTTCAGCGATGCGTATCCACGATCTCACTAGGGGTCGAACCAGGATCTTTAGGTTACGTGGCCAAGCTCGTTTCCCACCATTCAACCAATTAGCTGGAATTAATTGACCCGTGAATTTTAACTCCCATCAGTGCATGATATCGCTCCACCCTCAACCACTACCTTCATTGAGCATCCATTTCGTCCTAACGGCGGATTCCGCTGGCCACGGCTTCTCAGTATGGCTTCAGGATATCCATCCATTAGCTATCAGTGAGCTAGAGCTAGGTTTTGTAGGGACTTGGATCTAGATTTTGTCATGAACCAAGCGGCTGAGTAGTCAACGAGCTTAACGTTTTAACCTTAAAGGTTCCGGGTTTGATCCCTGTTGGGGTCTTGGGTGCGCAACACTGAAGAGCCCCAAACTAGGAAGACGGCTGTTGAAATTTATCTTTTGTCAACTTAATTTCGCCTAAAGATTGAGTACAGATAAGATAAATTTAACTATACACAAGTCTACCAACTAGGTAATATCTTCGACTAGGAGTCTTCATCCTTTTCAATGAGATTCGAACTAATAAAGCTCAATAACTTCGTCAAAAGCACTATTAAACTCTGTTTAAGACTAATTCTTGTCTTACACATATTTGCGTTTGATACGTATGTCGATATTACGTTGTGATCAAAACTATTTCTGATTGTTATATATTGAATTAAGTCTGTGAAGAAGAATATTTTATTTAGACTTGTGGAATTAAGTTGTGCAATGACTATCTTGAGATGTCAGAACACCGTTACCCTTTAGAATGCATTCATGTAAATATGTTAGGTAACCTTAGCACTTTTTATCAGTCATGCTCATCTCTAGTGCATTTCATATGGTAGTTTTGGATTTCACTAAGTAATGAATTTCTTATAACGTGTTAACACTAACTATTCATTAAATATTTGGTTCTTGATTATCGTAACTTCAAATTATACGAGTGGGTGGTTGACTGTGGGAATACAAATGTGGGTTGATTTTTATCCATGATATCTTATGGAGTGTCATCCTTGTGTTTCTATAATTATATTTTCACTTTAAATTTATTATGGATGTATATTTATATCAACAGGTTCATTGGGATGAATATGGGGCACATGTTGATCCGGAATTGTTTGCTTCGGCTGAACCTATTTCTAACCAGGTAGCATTACAGCTTTGCGACGTTAAAAATAAAGGTTAGCTCTTCATCGGAATAACAATATTAATTACTAATTTATTATATTAACAAATATTTCTTTCTATCTGATCCATCTTTCATCTCACTTTTATTTCCCGTCATATATGATTTCCGAGGTCCAGCTGGTCAACGTTAATATGATTTGCAGAATTTCGAAAATAATGAATAAGTTCATCGAAATATCTGTATTTCTTTTGCTATCTGAGCAGCTCCAGACACCTTGCGGATATTCCATGTCCCCATGTTTATTTTTCCTTTCACCTAAAGAAGACACATCGACTGACTGATTTTCTAAAGGCTCTCACCGGTCTGCTTCATTTCATCTCTCCTATTCTACTGAAGTTTATGTCCTTTATATTTTGTTCATGCTTTTAAGTTTCTGTGCCCTTCGAACTGATTTTCCAGGGTACAATCGTTAGCTCTATTCTCAAACTCCTATCCTTTTCCGGGTTTAGGACCGGCTAGTAAACTAGGTGAGGACATTCGCTGAGGAGACTGTCGAGTGGCATACCACACTAGGCAGGACCTCGGGTTGAATCTGAGTGGGAAACGATGAGTTGGACATGAGTGTGAAGGTGTCGTAGAGGATATCCTGTGAGAAGGAAATGAAAGTTTATAGACAATTGTGGAGCCAGCTGAGAATGGCCGCGGAAAACAGGATAAAGTGGAGATGCTTCTCTTTAACCCTATGTTCCGTTCGAAACCCAAAGGAATAGAAATAATAATGATATCTGTGTTACCGTAATTATTTGTTGTTTATGTCATCGGTATGCTACTTTCAAAATTTTGAAATTATTAGCTGATTTCTCTGGAAGCATTTATACTGTTCCTTTTCCTTATTCCTTTGTTCATTTTAATTGCTTTCCGGAAGCCTCAACATTAAAACTAACGCCATTCCTGTTTTTCTGCATGTACATCTTGTATACAATTTGAGGTTTATTGTTTACTTTTATTCCTTTGTGTTCCGAATGGAATGTAGGGCTTCAAGCTTTATGCTTTGAAGTTGTAATAACAGTGGTATTGTTTTTCACGGGGTAGAGTTGTTAGCCTCATGCTCGACCTTCCCCCTTTTTCTGGCTTACTACCCGCTAGTAAACTAGGCAAGGTTTAGAACTGCTTTGGCCGGGAATCGAACCTCTAGTCACGTGCGTAGTTGGAAAGCATTCTACCCCTGAACCACCGACTCACCATAATTTTGTGCGTTGTACAACTAATACTTACTTACTTACTTAGCAGTGTGAATATAGCACCCACTTAAGTTTCACTTGGAGTATTTACCTACATATTCATAACATCATGTGTTCTACGAATTGGCGGGATGTGTAATCCATGGGGCATTGGGTTAGATCCCAGTGGCTGAATGAATGGTCTACGAGCTCGCCTTGTAACCACAGGGTCCCTCAGTTCGGACCCTGGTGTGTGCGCACTGCTGAAGAGTCTCAAACTAGGATGGAAGAGCTGTCCAGTGCTCCTTTGATTTCCAACGGTTCACTGACTGATGTCAGCTTGGGACCAAATCTGTAATCAATGAAATCCCTGCAAAGCAACACTCGAAAATATTCCTAAAGTGACATTATCATCTATGAATATCATTTAAAAAAAATGTCTCCAAGTTGTTCGATTGCATTGTAGAATTGTTGCGCTATTTCATAAATCGATTTTTAACCATAGTAAACTACTCTTTTTTCTCAGATTTGATTTCTGTGCATTTTTTCTATCATTATGAATGATCAAATGTTATCAGCGTGTATATGTTATGTGTATATCTTGAAATCGATGAGTTTCATTGAGATATTTTTAGTGTACCCGCTACTACTGCTGAGGTACTACTACTAGTATGACGTCAGAACACAAGAGCAGTTAGTAACGGAATGTTTATTTGCAGTCTGATGTACACAGATAGTGAAATTGTGTATACCATATATGAAAATGGTCATTTGCACAAATCTTCCACGTTGAGCCACTTCTGCCTTTCGTATTGTGCTGTGTCTTATTTTCTTGCCTCCCATGCTTTGCCGCAACACTGATTCATTTGCTCTCTTTAACGTTAAATCTATCTCTCAGCTCTCTGATACTTTTTCGCCAATGAACGTTTGTTTATATACTACTGATAAGTCTTATGAATAGCACACGCCACACTAGTACCTAGATTTCAATTTTTAAAGTTCATAATTTTGGTAAAACGCCAAATATGTTTGTTACGCATGAATCTGATGTGAATTCATAAGGTGTGGCTCATTGGCCATCGGTTAACAGGTCACAGATTCGAGTTCCATTCTATTTACTTCAACCTGGTTAACTGGATAGTATCATTAGTTCTCATACGATGAGTGTGGCTTGTATCCCGGTATATGAAAGATCTGTTCTGGGTAATTGAGTTCAAATAAGGGGTCTTTTGTCCTTCTAACTTAGTGTAGTGATAATTACTGATGCGATAGTTGTTAATGGTAGGTATTATTTAGTTTATATACTGTTGATTTGTTTTAATACTTCTCAATCTTTAAATTATATTTTCTTATATTTTCCCTTACAGATATAAAAGCAAGTCCAGATTTTGTCGCATCGACTTTCACTTCTACATCAATATTGGATTATTTAGTTGCAAAAACACCAAATCTTGATGTATTGGATACGGATACACGTTGTGTAATACACAATTTAGAAATACCTTTACGTTGTGAAATTATATTTTTGGATTATGAGGTTGGTTGGTGGTTTATATTTTGATAGGTCATGTTAATGATTCTGTTAATTTTTTCAGAAATGAATTATTTGGAGTTTGATCATGGATTAATATTGGTTAGAGAACCTCTGAAAAACGTAGTGCAGGCTATAAGGCAAGCTCGTAGACCATTCATTCAGCAACTAGGATCCAATTCAATAATCCATGAATTCTAACTTCTACCGATTCATGATTTTTTCTCTACCACCAGCAGATGTCATCGAGTATTTGTCCTCATGTCCGCATCGGGTGGACCCCAGTGGATGAATGGCCTATGAGCTCTCCTGGTAACTGGAGGGCCCTTGGTTTGAACCCCAATGGGTTCACACCACCGAAGAATCTCACACTAGGACGAAACAGCTATCTCAGTACTCCGTGGTTTTCAGTGGTTCTCTAACTGATAACTTTTGAAAATTAATCTGATGCCTGCTAGTGACTGGTTACAGGACAAAGTTGTCTGGACTTCTAGGGAATTTCGACCAGCGGGGCTCAGCATTTCAGGTGTGACGATAAATACTCGCCGATGACATTAGCTGCTGGTCACGTTAAAATCACGAGCTGGTAGAAGTTAGAATTCATGGACTGTCCAATGAGTTGGGTTGTAGTTGCTGAATAATCTACGAGCTTACTTTGTAAGGTCCTGAGTTCGAAGCCCGACTGGTGAGCGCTTACTGACGAGGGGTCTCAACTGGGACGAAACAACTATCCAGTGCTTCTGGGTTTTCAGTGGTTCATGAACCGATATCAATCTGTGAACAAACCTGAAGCTAACGGTTTTATAATTTTACACCACAATCGAATGGAGTTTAGGATTTTCAAGTTTAACAACTACTTGGTGTTTATGTTGGATGTCTTATATTTTCAAATTTTCACAAAATGTTATCGTTATACAAATGATTACAGTGTTTTTCTCTATTTTCTAACAATAAATTAAGTTGTGTGTACTTGGTACTGACATATAATATCAGACAGATAGGTAGATGTAGGTGTTCATGTGTGTCCCTTTGCCTTCTTCTTATAAAAACGCTCTTTAATTTCTCTTGTTTTTTTCTGTTTCTGTGCCATATTGAATTATGCAGCCAGTTAAAGTGTATTTCAATTTTTCTCGAGATATCTTTTTTTGTTTTTCAAAATTGTGTTTATCTATCTATCTATTGTAGAGTCTTGTATGTGCACACACATTGTCAAATATGAATGACCTACTTGCAAATATTTTCTGCCAATATTCTTACTTACTTTAATACAACCGATTACGTATACATTATATATATTTTTTAATCCTATGCGTTCCGAGTGGGACATAGGGCTTCAAACTTGAGCTTTGAAGTTAAATTGGTAGGGGTGTTTATTTTTTTAACGGGATAAAGTGGTTGCCTAGCCTCACACCCAATCTTTTCGCTTTACCGGGACTACTACTACTGTAAAGAACAGCAGACAAGGGCCAGGCAACATATCGTTTATTGAGAAAATCAAGAGATATTTATAGATTTTTATGTACATTATTATTAGCGTTATTGTTATCAGAGAAGCAACGTCTTTTGATTGATTGTTTTCTCGCTGAAGGTTATTCTGTACTGCTTGTGACCGTTTTTTCCATGACCCCGATTTGGGACGTAAACATTGACGCAATTGTCTACATTGTCTACAATTTTGGCTTGCAGACAGCTCTCACCACACTACTGCCGGCTAAACAAGGTTAAGAAGTGCACCGGTCTTGGATATTGAACCCCACACGACATGTATGGTTTTCGAGTATTCTACCGCTGAACTGTCGATGGGAGACATTACTCTATCGTAGTATGAAAAACATTGAAGATAAAGTGTCTTGACATTTAACCTTTAAAGAAAGCATTTATTCTTTTTTATTTTCTTAGGGTCGATCAGATGGTGAAGCTATGAAGCGTATACTAATTGGTTTAAGACCCCAAGAAGTGATTTTAGTTGGCAATAATGCACCAGCTATTGATCATCTTGCCAATTATTGTCGTGGTGTTATGATGTTAGATTCAAAACAAATACATATTCCTCATACACTAGAAGTTGTCAATTGTACAAAAGAAGGTGATATTTATCAAGTGGGTTTATAATTGAATTCATTTGATTATTTTAACATTTGCATTAGTTGTCAAGTATTGATTTGCAGGGATTTGATTGCTTACAAGTTTAATCATGAGTCGACATCAGTTAGAAAACTATTGGAAGAAGTGGGAGTACTGGGCAACTGTTTCATCCTAGTCTAGGACTCCTCATCAGTGCGCACTTATCGGGGTTCGAATCTAGGATCTTCCGATAACTAATCTAATTCTCACTGGTGACTAGCTCTATACAGGGAGTTATCCGGAGTCCTCTTAGTGAGAAGTCGTAATCATTGGGGGCCAGCAAGTCAGCTGTATATGTCGCAAATTGGAAGAAGTTGTAATTCACAGGCGATTGGACCGAGTCCCACTCGCTGAATGGTCTGCGAGTTCGCCCTGTAACCAGAAGGCGCTGCGTCCGAACCCCAGTGGGTTCGTACAGCTGAAACCTCCCAAACTAGGACGATATAGCCATCCAGTGCTCCTATGTTTTCCTATGGTTTTCTGACTGGTGTCACCTTGTGTTCAAATTTGCATTAATAATAATAATGATATGAACTATTAATATGGGGGTCCGAGTGGAATAGGGCTTCAGAATTACAGTGCTATTTCAACCTGTTCTCTGCATACTTCTTTAACTGGCTCCACAATTGCCTATTATAAGCTTTCAATTCCTCTTCACACGATATCCTTCAGATCACCTTAAGACCTTCTTCTAACTCATTGTTTCTCATTCGAGTTTCACTCTAGGGGTCTGGCGCGTGATGACGTCACTGAATCGTCTCCTCAGCGTGTGATAATTCATCTCCTTTTCATTCTGCACATTTATTAGTCGATAGTTTCTCAGTTGGTCCTTTGCACTGCAGAGTTCCTTGTTGCTTATCCTTTCCGTCACATAAGATCTTCAGTATCAGCGAAGGCTGGTGTTGATAAAATTCGGAAGGATCCTGTTGGAAATGCTTTTCATAACGCGTACACCACATCTCTAAATCATTTGGAAGCACTGATTTCACATTAGCTACTAAATGACATTATTATCATTATGATTAAATTAAATGATTGACGCGTGAGTGTAATTATCTGTTTCCCTCGAATCAAGTGACTCATCGAATACAATAATTGATTAGTTCAACTTTCAGTAATCAACAACGTCATATGTGAAAAAAAAGAAACTTAAAATATTAATAAATTGACTCTAAACTAAATTCTAAAAGAACACCATCATTTATTCATTGCATGCAATCAGTTCCCTTTGATAAACTTTCATAATGCAATGTAAGAGGAGCTTTTGTTAGAAAGCAGGGCATGTAAACTGTTGAGACGTTTCATATTTTACTGTAAAAGTTGTTCTCTTATTGCATTATTCAAATCCTATTGATTTTTTGTACATACATCACTCCGATGAGTCCTAGATAAAAAAAAAGAAAAATGCGTTGTGTTTTCCACTCGATAAGTCTGTCTGTCTGTATTCGACATAGAACTTTGCACCGGTGTGCGCCAGTTCAAGTTGCCACACTCCATGTAGCACACAAAGCAAGAGAAGAAAGTAGAACAAATGCATAATATAGACATTAAACAGAGGTGTGAGACAAAGGAATAGTAATAACGAAGAACAATATAGTTTCATTGGAAATCATAAGTCACAAGGAGTGGATGCATCTGCGCCACTGAGAACGATTTTGAACCATATCACCAATTGTTTCCAACCATTGGTTTTTACCGTCCCGAGGACCCCAACCGGTCAGGAAGTCTACACCTTCCTACGTGGCTTAAACTAACTGTTGTAGATTTCATTGACTGGTGCCTTGTTTCGGCTTGACTGTAGTCACTTAAGATACCTTTTCCTGGAATGCTGATTCCAGTAGGCTGAAGAATTACATGTACAAGATATAATGGTGGCTAGTAGAAGGTGTTTAGAGAACTCTTTTTCTTTTTTTTTGAACTTATGGCTAGCCTGTATGTATCATTTTGTTTGCATGTCTACAGATAGGACCGTCTTTATTCATGAAGCCGATACTCTGCCTCAAGTATTTACTCTTTCACTTTAGGCTGAAATCCTATACTATATATTGAGTGGTGACTGGACACATATCACGTCATGTTCACTCAGTAGACTTAAGGTTTTGTCTAGAAAGATAATGAAAGCCCAGGAAACATAACCAAATTGGAATTCATCCACCTGAGCTACAAATCTCTATTTTTTCAGAATCACGCTTATAATATTTTTATTTGATCCTTTAAGCATTGAAATTGTCACCTGTTGCGAGAAGATTTTTTGTGAAACTGTCGAAAAAGGAATTAGGCGTGTAAATATCTTTGCGTTGGTATTGGCTAGCGATGGAGAATATTCATGATGCTCATTTCTTCCTGTTTGAAACTCGTCGTCAATTGGATGTACCTGCGTTCTTAGTGAGCGATGATAGTATTCCCGTTAGGAATGTAGCTACATCTAGTTGACGCATTCCAAATTGAACGCGAAATACACATCCTGGATTCCCCTGCTAATCACTATCCACTGAAATAGCTTGACTTTAATCCTTACAGGTTGTCAAAGCATCCATACTAGGAACCGACGCATTAACAGAGGCCGAACATCTCATTCTAATCAGTCAACGGGGAAATCAAAAGTGAATGTAAAAAAGCATTATTGTTTATTTGTTAATCAATATTTACATATTTCTGTCGTCTGTAAACATTGTTAGAGGCACTTATCATTAATTGTGTAATTAATTCATGTTCTCTAATTAATTGTCTTCTCTCTTTGTAGGCACGAATGAAGGATAGTTTAGTATCCAGTTTGAGATTTACAAAGATACGTGATTATGAACTGGCTTGGGTTGAAGCAGTTGTATCAATTGATGATAAATCGAATTATCATATTAAAGAAGAGACAGAAAATGAAGATGAAGAAATGTCCAGTGATAATAATAATAGTCATGATCATAATGCTGGATCAGAATCTAAAAGTCGTACACCACTAGCTGCTGATGATTTACCAGTTCTTAGTCTTCCAACAGGTCCTGTTGGACGACATGATACTGTCTTTGTCAATGAACCAAAATTATCAGATGTAGGTTTAAATTGTAGTCGAATGATAAGTTTTACTAGACAACGGTTGCTTTTCCTCTCTCCATGTTTCAGTGTGTAGGAGTTTTTCTTTTAATGTTGTGCAGTATAGCCTTATTGAGACTTTTATCCTAGCTGTCAAATATTTATTTGACTGTTATCAGACTAATACTGATTTTTTTTGTGATCAGTTTTTTCCTGGTATTTGTTACATTTATAGTATACGGGTAGAATACACGACAAGTTAGTGGATTCGTCTTCATTTTGGATCAGTAGGCAACATTGTATGACTCACATACATAGGCGCATAGTAGTAAAAGCTTAAAGTAGTAACAAGACACTTCTGTATAATATAGTCGGAGAGGAATGATAGGCTAGCAATAGCCAGCGTTAGAATTCATTCAAATTAATCAGTCTTTGGATATTTTTCGGAATTACAAACTCACTATTTCATGAATATTAAAACAGAAGAAATAAGTGATTGATTTCAGATGATTTTGGATCTCATCAGAGGTATTGTTCAAAATCTATCATTGCTTAATATGGTAGAACTTATGCTTAGAAATCAGACTTCGAAGAGGCACACATAACACTTGGGAAAAAGTATAGTGGAGTTACAGTTGATAAAAGCATACAAGAGGGAGAGAGAGTTTAATCAAATGAAGACTAGGGAAGATGATAAGGAATCTCGGTCGGTTCGGTCGGTCGGTTTTCGACATAGAACTTTGCACATATGTGCGGCAGTTCAAGTCGCCACAATCCATGTAGCACGCAAAGCAAGAGAAGAAAGTAGAAGAAATGCATAATATAGACAGTAAACAGAGGTGTGAGACAAAGGAATAGTAATAACGGAGAACAAAGCAGTTTAATTGGAAATCATAAGTCACAAGGAGTGGATGCATCTGCGCCACTAAGAACGATTTTGAGCCATGTCACCAATCGTTTCCAACCATTGGTTTTTACCATCCCGAGGACCCCAACCAGGAAGTCTACGTCTTCCTACGTGGCTTAGACTAACTGTTGTGGATTTCATTGACTGGTGCCATGTTTTGGTTTGACCGCCGCTAGCTCTTTTCCAGCCTGGCCCTATATCAGCTAACATTGACCGTCGAGGAAGGCGATGACTAGGCATACGTAGCACATGTCCTAACCATCTCAGTCGAAGTAATTTCACCGTTTCGTCGATTGATTTCCCCGCCTTACCTAGCACTCGACGCCTAACCTCAATATTGCTCACCTTATTATACCACATCACACGGGAGATAGAACGCAGACACCTGTACGCAGACATCTGTAAAATGACATAGATTGATTGACTGACTGAATTTCACTGCGGTGATTTGCATCGAAATGCAAATAAATAGATTAAAAAACAGTCGCTTTGTGATGCTTGCCAGTTTGTGAAATCCTTGACATAAAAATAAAATTTCGGTACTGTGGCAGAGTATAATTCCCGAATAATTTTATTTGATGAAAAACATAGTATTATTATTCCCCTTGGGTTCCCAGGGGAACATAAAGCTTCAGCAGCACATCCCCGCTTCATTCTTCTCTGTTCAGTATTCTTTTTAAGTTGGATCCATGTCTTTCCATAAACTTTCATTTCCTCCTCGCTTGGTCTCTCTTGTGTGTCAACCTTGGGTGCATGTTCAAGGTGTCGTCTCCTATTCGGTTTCCCACTTGAGGGCCTGTTTAGCATGTGATGTCAATCAGCGTTCTCTTCGGAGTGTGTGCAGTCCATCTCGATTTCCTTTTGTATTATGTTTGTAGGATAGGTGATAGGTTCTTGACTGGTTCGTTTGCAAAGTTGCTTTTTGCCTATCTTTTCTGATTGGTCTTCTAATCTCCAGTATATCGAGTCAGTGAAGGCGGTTGTTGATGACGTTTCGAGGATAACGTTGTATTTTCATTGGACACTAGTAACTAGTGTGACGTGTCTAGTCCTTTCTTTGGTGCAGACTGAACCTGACCGATAGAATTCAGTCTGCACCAAAGAAAGGACTAGACACGTCACACTGGTTACTAGTGTCCAATGAAAATACCCACTACAGTCCTACAGGAGGTCAATCGCGAGCCCGAATAGCTCAGTGATAACGTCTCTGACTGCAGCACTGGGTGACGCGGGTTTGAATCTCAGAAGGGACATGAGTTCCTTCAAGGTTGCAGATACGCCTTGCTGATGAATGTCAACTAGCACGAAACTTAGGTCCAAGGCTTCCTGCCGATTGCCTCCAACTATCTAATAACGTTGTATTGTATGACACACCTAGAATCAATGCACTTTCGTGCTTATAACTTTGGATATCTTAATATCACCTCACTTTTTCATTATTGCTGGGCATAATTAATAATAAAAAGTGATATATTCAGGCATAAATTTATTATTTTAAAAAAAACTTTTTATTTTCCCCTTTTTCTTCTTATATGTTAACAGTTGAAACAGCTTTTATTATCACAAGGTTTAATGGCAGAATTTGTCAGTGGTATATTAGTCGTTGATAATTGTGTAGCAATTAAACGTTCAGAAGCAGGTAAATTATTACTAGAAGGCTTATTATGCGGAACGTATTTTGAAGTACGTCGTATCCTGTATCAACAATTCGCTATCTTGTGATGAAATGAAGACAAAAAAAGCAAACAACAGCATTATTTTTGTTCTGTACACATATTATTGTACATGTATATATATTTTTTGTGAAATAAATATTGTTTTGCTATTGTTTGCCTGTCTTCTGTTACCTTCTAAGTGTAATTGGTTACACTGAACTGATATGTTGATGTATTTTCATTTAGTATAATGTGTATACTACTTTTTGAGTAGTATTTTATTGGTCTGGACTGTTGACTTCCTATCAGTGGGTCATGGGTTTGACTTCGGCTTGGCCTACCGATGTGTTTGGGCAGTCAAGTAGTATCAGACTAATCCTTACACAATAGGTGTATGGTTTATTGAGTAACATTTCATGCATTTTTTCAGTTGTTTGTTTTTGTTGTCATACATATGAAAAGTGACAAACATTTACACTTACGAAACACGATAAAAATAGCTGTGTAGAAATTGAAAGTAAATGTCTATGGCTCAGTGGTAGAATACTTGCCAACTACCCGAGTAGTCCGGGGCTCGACCTCCAGTCGGCGCACACCCGATATCTATGGTCGGCCTGAATTTGGGCTACCGATATCCATGCTGAAAATTCCATACTTGTACTGAAAATACGGTGTGGGATCAAGCTGTAAATCAAAAAAAAAAACTTTGCCTAGCTGGGTGTAAGGCTAGCGACTCCATCCAGTGAAAAGTAACATGACTGTTACTGAAACTTTAAAGTTCAAACTTTTTAAAGTTTTATGTTCTACTTAGAATGCAACGTAAAGAAAAAGGCTAATCCAACAGTTTCAAGATAATAAGGTTTTCATAATACACCAAAATCCTAAATTATCAAGTATTTATAAACTGTCGTGAGATGCATATATGATTATTCAATTCTAATTTACTGTTCAGTACTTTTTGTTTTACTAATATACTATACCTTGAAATTAAATGTATTTATAAAACTTGTAGCGTTAATTGTCTGGCTTTATAGTGTGCTTATTATTATTTATTAACAATTTATGTTGATGTGTTAAAGTGAAGATGAGATTATTTTCCAAACTGTTAATTAGTAAGGCATTAAATTTGTATGTCAGTGGCGTTCTACGTGAGAATGCTCACACTAACCCACCCATATGGTCCAGGTGCGATTCTTGACCGATGCACTCCTAAACCTTACGTAGTTTTACCTAGCAGACAGTAAACCCAGAAAACGACACCATTCCCACTGAAACTTCACACCTTCAAGCCTTATGTTCTACTCAGAAATCAAGGGATAGAAAAGAAGAAACAATTGAATTCCTGTTATTCGTTTATTTTCAATCGATGATGAATTGAAATTGTCTGAAATATGTGTAGATTATGCCTTCGTTGAATTAAACATCAAACTTGTTACCTAAGGGATATTGGTCCCCAGTTGACTCCATTTATTGGGATTTGAACAGTCAAATCTCATATTATAGAAATGGTGTGTAAACACATAGTAGACAAATACACATATGTGGCCTGTCGTGTTGTAAAGCAATAGCATACACTGAATTACTATTAATTGGGTGTTTTTTGGACTAATTCAGCTTTCTGAACTGAGTCAAACCGGCTACGCTGTTGATGAGCTTGGCTCGAAACGACGGTGCTGTGTTTAGATCACCTCGATCTTGCTAGCAAGCAGTACTCGTTGATGTCAGTAGTATCCAACTACTCATCTCAATTAATCAGTAGTATATATTTTTATGAATCAATATAACGTAGCTTCATTGGACGTATAAGAATTCCTTCTCTTTTCCTAACTTTATGCTTGTTTAGGCAATATCATTCATCATATCACATATTGCTTTTGGGCTCATTTAACCATTCTTTTGATCTTGACTTACAGAGATCAAACAGAATTACTAGTGGAATTGATTTACATTTTGTAAAAAGAATCTGTCGGATCTTACGTAACAAAACTGTTTTACAGACGTTGGCAGTTGCTTTCACTTCTCAGATTTTGTGTACACAAAATGTTTTTCTCTGTGTTCTATTTATATTCAGTATACATATGCACTGTTGTGTTAATGATTGTAGTCATTAATGTATCTCTTTTTACTTGAAAAAAACACACCCATTATAGATTTGACCATCTATGTCGAAGCCAACTTTCGATAATCTTGTCGATGATGTCCAATTACTTATCTCTCGTATGCGTTCACGTGAAGATGCTGCAGATGTATTACGTCAACAGGCATCGAAATTACAAGCACAGTTATTGAGTATGAGACAGGTGATTAACTAGCTCCTATTTTTTTTTTTTTTGCTTCGTTAAATCTTATAATTACTTTTCATTAGGTGTATTATTTCTATTTATATTTAGTAGTCACGAAAGTTGTATGTGATATAATTTTATACTACTGTGGGATATTTAACTGTTTAATTCAAGTACAAAATACTACTAATCTGATTGGTCAGTTGGTAGTAACCAATATCATACGTCTAGGTCTTGTTTAGATGCAGACTGATTTCTGTCAGTTAGGCTTGTAATATTGTTGTCATGTTTGGTGGCACATGACATTGGTTTATACCTTGTGACTAGTCAAAGTATGCATTATAATTCTAAAGTAGGTCAATCGCAGGCCCGAACAGCTCAGTGGTATCGTCCCTAACTACAGCACTGGTCGCTGCAAGTTCGAATGTCATAGAGGATACAAGTTCCTTCAAGATTGCAGATATACCTTGCTGACTGGTGAGTGCCAAGAAGCATGAAACCTAGATCCAGGGCTTTCTGCCGATTGCCTCCAACCATCTAACATTACAGGATTTCATCATAAGCTGACATTAGTTAGAGAACCATTGGAAAACCAGCTGGGAGTACTGGACAAATGCTTCGTCCTAGTTTGGGACTCTTCATCAGTACGCACCCACCACTGCTGTTCGAACGCAGGACCTTCTGGTTACAAGGCGAGCTCGTAGGCCATCGAGCCACTAGGACCAGATCCAATGACCCATGAATTCTAACTTCTGCTAATTCACGATATAGCGCGACCCCCAGCCAATGTCTTCGGCGAGTATTTGTCCTCACACCCAACCTGCTGCACCCTACCGGTGACGACTTCCCACTAGAACCCCAGATAACTACCTACCTGAATAGAGCCAGTCGCCAGTGAGCATCTAATTGATATTCAAGTATTGGTTTGTAGGGATTTGGTTGATTGGTTACAGGATTTCATCATGAGCTGACATTGGTTAGAAGTCCATTGGAAGACAGGTTGGGTGTGAGGACGAATACTCGCCGAAGACATTGGTATCGGTTGCGCTATATCGTGAATTGGCATATGTTAGAACTCATGGGCCATTGAATTGGGTCCCAGTGGCTTAATTGTATACGAGCTCGCCTTGTAACCAGAAGGTCCTGGGTTCGAACCGCGGTGGGTGCGTACTGATGAAGAGTCCCAAACTAGGACGAAACAGCTGTCCAGTACTCCCTGCAGGTTTTCCAAGGGTTCTCTAACCAATGTCAGCTCATGATGAAATCCTGTAACCAATTAACAAATCCCTACAAACCAATACTTGAACATCTAACATTAGTGCTACTAAGTTGTTTGGAGGTAATCTTTTATTACTGTTACTTGGATAATTGGTATAGTATTTTCTCAGAATGTTTACTTGTAAAAACTAAGGTGATTAGAAGAAATTTATGCCCATTCAAATAAAGTTTTTCGAAAAAATATGCTGACATTAGTCTTCCTCATCTTATTTTAACTGTGCTTTACAATTCGGTGTGATGTACGTTTGTTGTTCACTAATCACATACGTGATCTGGGGTTCAATTCCCAACTGACTCACTCCTAAACCTCGCCTAGTGGGGGTAGTAAACTAGTTAAAAAGGGAAGGTTAGGTGTTAGGCTAGGGACCCCATGTCATGAAGAAAGCAGCACCACTTCTACTAACACTTCAAAGCTGTGGCTTAAAGCCCGATTTTCCACTGGACACGTAAAGGAATGGAAAAATTCAGTTTGCTTACCTAGAGGAGATTCGCTATCTTATGTATTTACCATTTCACTTTAAACCATTTCTGTAAATAAGTAGAATCACAGTAGGAATCTTTCCTTACTATCTATACGTCATACAGTAAAACTAATGTGCATCAGCCCTATTAGATTACATTTTAACATACACTTAGTATTCAGTACGCACTTTTACATAATGTCTATCGACATGATATAGTTTTCATTTGAGAATATAATATTATTCGGTCATTATTTATCTCATTGGTGCGTCGGTGGCCTAGTGGTAGAACACTGGCCAACTATGCAAGTGCTCTAGGGTTCGATCCTCTACCGATGCACTGTTCAACCTCACTTGCCCGGTAGTAAACGCGGTAAAGAGGGGAGGTTGGGTTTGAGGCTAGCAACACTATCCCGTAATAACACCACTGCTACTGAAACTTCGAAGCACCTAGCCTGGAGCCATATATTCCACTGGGAAATAAAATGAATAAAAAAAAATTTATCTCATTGGATTATTATTCTTACTATTATAATTATTACTGTAATGGCCAAAACCCAAGTATTCTGGCTTTCACCAGTCCACGCCATTCTGTTTCTCCGATTACAGCGGAGATCAAGTTTGTTTTTTTCAATATTTTTTTGTACTTTAAAGTTTCTGCAGCGATTGAATTGGTTTTTCAGGGTAGGGTTCCTAGCCCCTTGGCCCAACCTTCTCTCTTTTCCTGGGTTTAGGACCGGCTAGAAAACTCACGACCTGGTAAAGTAGGCGCAAAGTTTGGTTATTCTGAAAGTAGGAAACCGACCGATGTGTTCTGTGTAGCTTGCCAAATTTCGACGAGTCACACACACAGTCAAAATTTATATTTCAAGATTATTAAGACATGGTTTAAGCTTGATAGAATTTGTGGTACTACTATGTCGTATGCTGCTGATAAGATTCATCAGTAGTATATGAAGAAACGTTTATAATCGTAAAAGTATCAAATAGCGGAGAGGTAGATTTGATGTCAAAGACAGAAAATGAACCACTGTTGCGTCAAGACATGTGAGACACGAAAAGAGGACGAAGAAACACAATACAAAGGGCAGAAGTAGCGTAACATGGAAGATTTGTGCAAATGATGATTTACAGATAAGGTCTACATGATTTCCCTATACAGAGGTACCAAATTCCAAGTAAACATTCCGTTACCAAGTTTCTTCCACTGTTTCGCTACTGAACAACAATAATAACTTGTTTCTGAATAACAAAACTGCTCTAAAAAAATCCCGTCTGGCAGCCATACAGTCCAAAAGTTTCCCAGGTCCAAAATACGTGCTTTTTTTATTCCTTCACGTTCCGAGTGGAACATAGGACTTCAAGCTAGAGGCCTGATGTTTCTGCAGCAGTGTTTATTTTTATAGGATGGGGTTGCTAGCCTCATGCCCAACCTTTCCTCTTTACCAGTCTTATTACTGGCATAACGAGGTGAAGGAGTGCGCCGGCCGGGAATCGAACCCCGAACCATATGCATGGTTGGCGAGCGTCCCAACCGCTATGCCACTAACGCACAAAATACGTGTAGTGTACAACAAAGTTAGTAAATCAAACGCAGTCACAAAAATGGGGAATAATCCCAATAAGTTGGGACTTATACTCTGTTTTTGAGAATCAAACAACAGAACAAAGTACGTTGCCAACAGACACTCCAGGGTCAAGCAGTCAGTTCACAGTGTAACCTTAATTTCTATTAAACAAAATCGCAATTGTAAAGTGACACATTATTGTCAACAGCATCACACAACAGCAAAGAGAAACATTAGAATCAGGGTTTAACGAAAAACAAAGACTAATAGGGATTAAGTCAAAAAGAGTTATTCAAATGTTACTATAATAATTTACTGTTCAGCAGAAAAGGTTGATAAATGCAAAACAAGTTCTCAAATACTCAAATCAGTTTCAACAATATGAATAGATGATTGTTCATGGAGGGAAGTTCATTCTGACACAACTACTGTTTCTTGTTATTCTTCATTCTATCATAATATTAAAAACTATCTTTTTGTTTGTTTAATTTTTTCATTTAGTGTCGAGAAGAAACTCTTGGATTTGATGAATTTTCTAAATGTGTATCTGGTCATCCAAAAGGTCAATTGCTTATGTGTCTTGCAGCTGAAAATAAACAATTAGAACAATTAAGAATTGAAAATAAAACTTTGAGAAATTCTCTAGATGAACATGACACTGCCTTAGATATGATTATGAGTAAATATCGTGGACAGGTGAGTTATAGTGTGAAACAGTTTGCGCTATTATTATTATTATTATTAATGCACAAAAGTTGTATTATCATGGACACCAAGTGATGTGTCACGCAAAGTCTCAGTTTGTGCGAGTACTGGGATACTGACCAGACGCCCAGACTGAAGCAGGTAGTTATCTTAAGAGGTCAGTTCCTTAACCTTTGACTTGAATTCTGATCCATGAAGCAGTAGACCAGCGTCAGGATCTACGTTCCCATGGTTTCCGATGCCAATCGATCCTTTCAGATTCTGGAGCAAATGTTGTACACCTTATGTTTGGAGTCAGGGTTTTCCAGTTCCCCTAGATAAACCTGCGTACCTAAGAGTCCGGTTGTAAACACCAGACTTTTGCATTTAAGCTTTCACTTCTGTGAGGAACACATCCACTGCGTGAAAGCAGTGGATTGGACTTAACTGGCGGAGGCTATAAGTGCGTGGCCATATGACAGCATTTCGAGAGGAGGATTGAAGTCTACCGACACTCATCTGTACCAGGTCGTTGATAAGGCTATTCGTGCAAGAGAGAGGTTTTCATTTTTCAAAATTATAAATATATGACATTCATTTCTAACGATACAATGTATAAAACAAGAAAAATAATTTGAATGTGAAATCAACGAGAGTTGTAAGATAGCTTAAGAAGACGAAATAATGCGATAGTGATGACCATGGTTCGAAATCGCTCTCAGTGGCGCAGATGCATCCACTCCTTGTGACTTATGATTTCCAATGAAACTGTTTTGTTCTCCGTTATTACTATTCCTTTGTCTCACACCTCTGTTTACTGACTATATTATGCATTTCTTTTACTTTCTCCTCTTGCTTTGTGTGCTACATGGAGGGAGTGTGGTGACTTGAACTGGTGCACATATGTGCAAAGTTCTATGTCGAAAACCGACCGACCGATGACCATGAAACATGGATACTTCTAGACCATAGCAATGGTTTTGAGGCTCCATCGCGTGGAGATGTTGCTTATTCACTGACGTAAACACTCAACTTCCAGGGAGCAGGTCCTGGAGTCGAACTCAACTCCACCTACTTCAGCCTTCAAACAATAAGTGGGGCTCGTAATAGTCTGTTATACGAAGAAATCCGTCCAGGTTTGAGAAGTTCTAACTATTATTGTTATTTCCTTCCAGCAGCACATTACCATTTCACTTTATTTTTTGCAACTTTTTTTTTAATCTGATTCCACGATTACCCTTAAGCTTTGATTTCCTCCTCACACAGTCTCCGCTATGTTACCTTTGGACACCTGTGCAAATTGTCGTTTCCCATTCGAGTTCCACTTGAGTGATGGCCCACCTTGCGATGTCATTCAATGGTCTACTCAGCGTATGTCCAGTCCATCTCTATTTCTTTCTGCACATTTGTTGGGCGATAGGTTGTAGGTTGATTCGTTGCCAGAGATAGTTCTTTGTTGCTTATCCCTTCCGACAAATGGTTTTCAGCATCGAGCGAAGGGAGGCGTTGATGAAAACCTGTAAGAGCCGGTTGAAAATGCTTTTGCTAATGCGCTCACCAAGTCTTTGAACCTTAAAGAATCATTAACTTGACATCAGTGTTGGAAATTCGTGCTTTGTTCCTTGTGCTGAGTGAGTGGTGTAGATCTCAACACTGATTTTTAGCTATTGATCGGCTGTCATGCCTTCCCAATCCTTACCAGCTTTAATATTCTCATCCGTGCCGTCCCTAGTTAAAGCTATGGTGCCTAGGTATGTGGAAGAAGTGACTTCCTACAAATTTCTACTGTTGATAGTGAGTGGCACTTGTTGTTGTTTGTTGGTTGGTTGGGTGGGTGGTTATCTTCATCTCCGTGTTCACTGGAAGTCCTGTTTTCATTGCTTCTTCTGACAACTTGTTGCCTTTCGCGTGTAGATCTTCGAGTATGTGCAACATTAGGCATAAATAATCTGCAAAGTCGAGTTATTTGAGAATCTTCTTGTCTGTCTGACATATGCTTGTCTTCTCGCTCCTCACGGCCACCCACGTGATTCCGTCCAGCACAATCACGAATATCATAGGTGATAGTAGGTTTCCTTATCTTACTCCTGGCTTCACTTCATAGGCTTCGGTGAGTTTCCCGTTGTGAATCACATGACATGTGGTGTTGTCATGTGGCTGTTGGATGAAGTTGATAATAGTTTTGTGGTACTCCACAGTGTTGAATTAACTCACGGTCAATTCTATCGAAGATCTTTTCAAAGTTGAAGTAGAATGTCGACTGGCATTATAGGTTCTGTTCGATGATGGTGGCTAACGTTCTAACTAGGTAACTGCAAATCCTAACTCATAAGTTTTGATTGTCTTGTTGATCTCATCTTAGCTATCAGTAACTCCTTGCATAGTAGAAGCTGACGATTATATGGCTGGGTGGGTGAGAGTTGGTTAATTCTAAAACTGAATTCATAAACGACTGTTAACCGTTGTATTTATATATATTTTTTTCGTACCGTTATTTCACAACCCTGTGATTAATTGATCGAGTTATTCACTCCTATGATTATTGAATCATCGGTTTTCCTTTCCTCCACGCAGAAAAATGCTTTATAATGCATTCATTTGGCTTATTGTAAATGAAGTGATGATGTCTTTACTCCTGCTGTTTTGTTCTTTGTATACTCGCGATTCTTTATCTTTTTTTGTAGATCTCTAAACTGTTAAGAACTAATCAAGTAGAACAATTTGTTCAGTCAATGATGATGCCTGAGCTTAATGAAATTACATATCAGAATATTCCTGGACATGATATTCCTTGCCCAAATAAACCCACTCAATCGCAGTCTGTAGCGTATAAACCAAAATTAGACACAAATAATATTACTACTGATGGATCTTGTAAAGTTGAAGAAACTAAAGATACTCCTTTAGTACAATCACTAACCGAGCAATTGACTACAGTTGCTTCTATAGTTCGTGAAGTCGCTGATCAAGGTGATGCATATGCTACAGAATTAGAAGAAGAATTGCATCGATTACGCTCTGAAAATGCTGGTCTACGCGAACTTTTAATGATATCTTCTGAACATTGTCCTGATAATAATATCAGTGATTCAGTTCACCTACCAGCAGTTTCTTTATCATCATCATCATCGAATAAAGAACAGGAATCAATGCTAACTTATCCAACAAGAGGTTATAGTTTTCTTAATCATCATGATATTGATTCTAATTCATCATCAAGGCGTTTAACATGTATTGATGATGATCATTCACTAAGAGGTGGTGGCATCAACAGAAATGCATACCTATATGACGATATTTCGTGTAGTGAATCTGTTAGAGGTGACAGTGCTTTCACTGAGCATAACACAGATCATCATTCAAATATAGATAGTGGCGATGAAGATGTTAGTACAGTATGTAGTGACAATAGCAGTAGTGATGAATCTCAAACTACATATCCATTGTATTTTCGTGAAGAAGTGAATCATCCTAATGATGAGTATACTTGATATGTGAATGTAAATCCCCTTTGAGGTTAATTATAAATTACCTACCTACCTACCTACCGCCTACTTGATAGATATGCATATACACCTATAGTTGTGTATTTAAAATGTAAACTTAAATCTTTTATTAGACGATTAGTTTCTGTTTTAAAGGTTAGTGAAGTAAAGTTCTGTATATCCTCAAGTGTAGTGCGTGCGTGTGTATGTGTGTGTGTGTGTGTCTGTGTCTGTGTGGTGCTTAGCTCATCTTATAGGATGCTGTATTTTTCCCTGCTACTACTACTACTACTACTACTACTAATAATAATAATAATATTAGTAATGTTTCAACAGGATGAATCCATCTTGCCTTCTATGTTCTTTCTTTGAGTTTTTCTAATATGTAAAGAAAGAAGAACAAGTGTATGATTATTGTTTACAGTGTGTTTTTAAATTCAATCTACTTTTCACTAACTCATGAATTATATTACTAATATTATTATTATCATTATTATTATTTTGAAATGCTTCAATATATATATGTCCGGTTATAATTTGTTTGGAATTGAAAAGCAACCAATAGATAATTTTAGCATTGTGTGTAACAAACAGATTGAAACAGAACTGTTGACTTGTCATTGTGAAATGGGATTAACGCAGGAAAAGAAAATACAATAATTATAAAAAGTGTATTTTATGTGATTACTTAATTTGTGTACAACCATTTGTATGTTGTTGACAAAATGTGTTGAAATGATGATATGAAATAAGACATTTCTGTCTGTCTGTTTCATTGACAATTACAACTGTATACAATTAATTCTGTTAAGTAAATAAATAAATAAACAAATATATCTATTCAGTTGTGTTTAATTTATGTCAACTTTGACTATGGATTGATATCAGTTAGTGAAACATTGTAAACCAGGGAGTCAGAGTCTGGGGTTATTCGGCAGTACTCACTCATGGTCGAATCAGGGGTTACACCCAGGACATTCCTGTTAGAAGGCTGGTCGTTAGACTATTCAGACACTTGGACCCAATTTGATGGTCCATGAATTCCAACTTCGAACAATTCGTGATTTTAGCGTGACTGGTATCAGTCAGTTTCATCGGCGAGTATTTGTTCTCATTCCCGACCTGATGGGTCCCACTGGTAACAACTTCTCATTGGAACTTCAGGCAAATTCGTCCTGCAACCAGTCATTATTGACCGTCGGATTAATGACATATGGTGATGACGGTTGAGCTATTTGTGATATTGAGAATTGGTTGGAGTTAGAATTGATAGGTCATCAACTTCATCTCAGTGGGTAGATGGGTAATGAGCCTGCCCTGTGATACGGGTTCGATGTCTAGTGGTAGGATCTGTTTGGCATTCCTATTCGTTCCGAGTGGAACATAGGACTTCAAACTTTGAAGTTTCACGGGTAGTAGTGTTTTCTTTTTACGGGGTAGGGTTGCCAGCTTCACACTCAACGTTCCCTCTTTGTCGACTTCACAACCGGTTAAGGAAGGTAAAGGTATGTGTGCCGGCTAGAAACTGAACCACGGACCACGTGCACGGTTGGCGAGCATCCTACCGCTGAACCACCAGTTCACAATGAGCATCCACCGGGTGTCGAAGCCGGGATTCTAGGGTTACAAGCTAAGTTCGTATAGCATTTTGCGACTGGGACGGAATCCAATGTCCCATGAATTCCAGCTTCTACCACTTCGTGATTTTAGTGTGACCACCAACCAATATAATCGGCGAGTATATATATATATATATATGATATTAAAGTAAAAATCGTGGATAAGGAATGGTTGGTATTACGTTAATGGACAAGAGAAGTAGAAAAATGTTTTTAAGGATTCCTAAGATTATATCCATAAAGGGAAGGAAGGAAGGTTGACCATCTGATATTTTTTTCTGTACTCAGAATTATCATTTCTCTAATCAATCACGAAGGCTTTAGGAATATAATGTAGACAGATATGCACTGATCTTCACTAAGCTTAATTATATCCGTCTGCTACGTTTTGGTGATCTTATAGCATAATGTACTTGAACTCTTTTGAACAGAAATTGTATCATCGGACGGATAGGGCTAACTCTACGGAAGCAAATTAACTAGCATACATATATTTTTTATCTATGAAGCATGGCGGATATTTCTTTCCGGTCACGAGCATCAATTTTTCCATTTCAAAGTCTTCGAACGTTAACGAGAAGGTAATAAAAATTTTCTTTCGATGGCATGATATTTAGTTGTAGAATTTTACTAGTTTTATAGTCCGTGTTAGCTTTCTCTGAATTGATCTACTCGAGGTTCAATCAATCGTGCGTCGGTAGCACAATGGTTAGGACTCTCGCCGATCATGCACATGATCTGGAGTTCGATCCGCTGCCGACGCAGACCTGATATCTATGGTCGGCCTGCAAAATTTGGGCTACCGATATCACATGCTGAAAATTCCATATTTCTACCAGAAAGTACTGTGTGGAATCAAGCTGTAATCAAAAATCAAAAAGATCAAGTCCAACTTCGCGGGTTTACATTAAGAAAATGTTTCGTAATGTAGGTTTAGATGACTATATGAAGGATGATTTATGCTGTTTATATCAACAGTGTGCTTGAAGAATATCAGCTGACAGAAGAACTGAGTTGTTAACAGTAAATGTATCTCATTAAATGCAGGAATAAAGAAACTAACATCGTTGTAATAGTGTGAAATATTCCCATATCATGAATTAAAAGTCAATCTGAGCCAGGGATATTCCTTTCAATAAATAATAACAGAATAGTTATAGGATGATAAAATAAACAGTATTTGTGTGACACACGTGCTGGGTTGAATACAATTACAAAACATTGTGGAATGAGAGACGATGATAGTGATTATTCATAATAGATTCATACAGCGAGAGAAAGGAGAATTGATAAATCCGATCAAGGTTATAAAAGGTGTCAGGTGAGTGGTTAGTACAGAGTAGTATGTATTGAAAAGGAAATAGTAAGACTGTGGTGAATAGTTTATCATGACATAACCAATATATGAGATGAAACAGGTGGAGGCATCCGTTGGGAAAGGAGATTAATATCATTAATAATAAGTGCGGACAGTACAAATGGAAAATTCAATACTACTTAAAGAATGCTAGAATGAAGAGTATAAATTATAAGAAGTAATAATGATTACAGCAGGCGAATCAAAAGAAAAAAGGTATGACTGAAAGAGGCACTCTTGGCGAGGAGAAGAAATGTTAATCCGAATTCGGCCACGGTAGTAACAGCGCCTCAACGTATTGTTTTTGCATCCAAAGTTCTGGTTTAGACAATCTCATTGCAACAGTTTCAGCAATACGTAGAAGACTTAGGCGAAGTGTGCATGATAATGACTTCAGAATGTGGTATGTAACTGTGAAAGCTATATTAGCATCGATTTGATTTTCCATATGCACCAAGTGCAATAGGATCAAACTTTTATGCGTCTGATTTCACCTTTAATGAACCACGCTGGTAAATGTTCCCGAATTTGTCTAATAGTACGCCTTATATAATTCGAAGAGAACACAAATGGTTGAGAAGGTATATGCTAAGAGCTAAGATTAGGTAAGGCATCTTTCAGTTTCTGGGTGGACATTGGAAAAAAACATAGAAAGTCTTGTTTGCTCCTCTAGTTAGATGTTATTCTAGAATCTTTGTAGAATTGTCTCCTTTGAATTGTAGACGTAAAAATAATGACTTTTTCTCCACTACTGCCAGTTCATGTTTGCGACTATTATAATCTTTGTTGACTTTTATAAACTTCGCTTAGAATATCCTGGATGATTTGTAGTTCTATCTCTTTACAGTCTTTGCAGCAAATCAACCTATCTCCAAATACTAAGCGCGCCTGATCAAATTCTATAGTTTTGTTTATTTGTATCACACTACTTGCTTTCAATGAGTAGCATAACTTAAACCACTGCATAGTAAATATAGCTTTAATTCCAAATAATACGTTAAAGTATTCAAGTTGTCAGTAAGTTTTCCGATTAACACACAGTGTTTCTCTCATCCTTACATATATCTTTCATTTATGCATATCAGAAGTTAAACGTATTCAACATAGAGAGGATCCATCTGATGTTATCTATACTGTCCATTTGTACACAGACATCAATATTACCATTTTCAAATTATTTGTAAGTTCTAATTAAAGTATATAATCACTCCAGCTATTGTTTTCTTGTCTGGTTCCAATCCTATAGGCAGGAAGCCAAATATATTGTTTTACTAAGATAGTAATCAATACTATTTGATTGAGTTTCAGGTGCTTGAAATATTTTGATCTAACATGCACGTATTTTACTCACCTGGATAATAGATTTTTCTTCATTCCAGTGCACTTTCGTAAATTTCCAGATGATTGGACACAATTCATGAAACTAGGTCTTAAGTGTGTAAGTTTTAATTAACAAGGTGTATTCTTACTTGTAACCCAGTTTATGTCATGTTTGAGATGTAAACTAGTGTCATTTATTGATACAGTCAGTTGGGTGATAAGTGATCCGCACTGCACTAAGACGAGATACAACGATCGATCACTAAAAGAGAGTAATCAATGTTATCTGCTGATATACGTGCTGATTGAATTTTTAAGGTTTTGGCAACTTTTATTAAACATTCAGGTTCGTAGTGCTTTTAGCGTCATTAAGCGTGAGAATTATTCACAGCCTACTGCTACTTGCCTTTTATTATCTAACTCCACAAGTGTTAACAATGCAATTCTTACTGTAGACAGTTGTATTATTTCGACTTTGATCACGGATTGATATCAGTTAAAGAACCGTTAAAACCAGATAGTGCAGGGCAGATGTTACGTTCTAATATCAGACTATTTGGCAGCACACGCACCCATGATTAAATCGGAAGTCACACCAATGACCTTCCGGTTAGAAGGTTAGAGCTATTAGACCATTCAGCCACTTGGATCCGGATTCCAACTTCTAAAAATCTATGATTTTAGCGCGACCTGATGAATTCCACTGGTCACAACTTCTCAGTGGGACTTCAGGCAACTTCGTCCTGCAGCCAGCCAATTTCAAGGGTTAGTTTGTAGGGATTTGATTTATTTCAATTCTGATCATGGAGTGATATTAGTTAGAGAACCATTGAAAACCATGTAGTACTTAACAACCGTTTCGTTGTAGTTTGGGACTCCTCGGAAGCAGGCACCCATTGGCGTTTGGACGCTGTTGTATTGCTCAGGATTACCAACTTCTCAGGCATAGTTTTTTGTCGGTATTTCGTTCTCATCAACAGTCATTCTGTAACCTCTTTATCATCAGTCTAGTCCAAAAGTTAACCATCGTGGAATTCATTTGTTTCTCTCATACATCATTTCATTTTATTCTTTTTATCTGAAAATAATTCACTCTATTGTATAATATTCATATCCATCAAGTACTTACTACTTACACAACATCTCTTTACATTTTACATATAAACAATTCGGTTTTATGCAATCGTGAATCTTTTTAGACCGAATTTTTACTGTTTCAATACTTTCTTTGTCTGGTCTTGTATCTGTAAAGCTTTCCTTACGAATCTACGCACTGTTTTGCAGGAGAGTAAAAGTGTCATCAGTGATAAGTGGAGGTTTGTTTGTATCCAGTTTTTACTGTTTTCATTTTGAAGATGCCCCTGTTCAGTTAGCTGAATTTTAAAATGTGTGTTTTCATCAGAGGATTAAGAAGTCATCAATTAAAAAATATATTAGAATAAATTGATTTAAATCAAAGGAAGAGATTTTAGGTTATTCTCCAATAAGCATTTTCATGGGTCAGGATAACAATAATCACATCCAGTTCACAAATGTGATAATAATAT